ACCCCACCCCGGCTTCATCCAGAAGGTCATCTGGTCTAATTAGCATATTATGCTTTTATTATTATAGATTATTATAGATAGATAGCTGCTCCTCCCTAATCTGCCCCATCACTGGTAAGGAAGAGTCCACTGTCACTGCTCTTATCCAGCATGCTGCCTGTCAAATGCAAGAGCCTCATCCTTCTCATCTAAATGAAGTGAATAACCCATAGCTGCTTCAGACTCACTTTGAGGATTTAAAGAGTGAATATGTATCCAAGAGCTTATTAATGTAGTTTATCACTCTGGTCAAGGTTTTCTCACCCCCCCACCCCCCCACCCCCACTACCAGAAGGAGAGCAGGATGCCAGTAAGAGCTGCAATTTACTGGGTGCCCAACCTGACCAGCTCATTCATGCATTGCTCCCTGCTGTGCAGCAGCCAGGCCCTGGCAGGAAACGGAACCCACCCCAGGGCCTCCAAGAAGCTCCAATGGAGGGCTCTTTACCAGGTTCGGGCAGGATGAAGGGGATGAATGAGGGGTGGTGAGCCCAGCGACAGCGGAAGTCATCGGGCCTCCGAGGGCTGAAAGGGCAAGGGGCAGATGCTGTGTGCCCGGAGCTGCAGTCATGGAGGGACACAGAGCAGCCAGACCGGGTCCAAAGCAAAGCAGGGCCAGGGTAGGGGAAGGAGGGCCCGACTTCTCGCCTCCTCTAAGGCATCCTGCGAGGAGGTACTGGCAGCGGGCCCAGGGCCGGGCACGCGTCGCCTTGCAGACACTGCCTGGCCAGAGCAGAATGGATGGCGAGTGAGGAGGTGCATGAAGGGTGGGTAACAAGCCAGGGAGACGCTGTTCTCCACCATCACCTCCCATCCACAGGGGAGAGGACGGGGCCGGACGCTGAGCTACCTGCCCGCGGTCCTAGAGCTGCCAGCTGCAAGGCTGGGCCGGGGAGCGCAACGCTGGAAGGATGGTCCCTGCCCCGCCTCCCAGGGCGAGCAGGGCTCAGGGGCGGCAGCACCCACGCGCTTCTGTCTTCCTCCCGTGCCCTCCTTCCTCCCACTCATCACTGTCCCGGCCTCTCACCCGCCTGCCTGGCCTCCGAGAAGGCCGCTGGCTCTCTCTCCGGTGCCGATGTCCTTCCCTGCATCTCCTCCCATTTCCCAGTCTCCCTCTTTCAGCCGCTCCTCCAGCGGCGGCGACCGGCCATCCATCCCCCGGAGCTCAGCTTCTCGGCACCTCCCCTCTAGGTTGTGCCCCTGAGTCTCCATCTCCGCCTCCAGCCCCCTCTCCGCCGCGCACCGATCCCTGCGCCCCGCCCCCGTCGCCGCCTCCCCCCCGCCCG